AAGAAAAAAGGCCTTGAGATTGTCGTGCTTGAGAGTCAAACAAAAGTGGGTTGTTGATGGTGGAAGAGAGGTGGTGGTGGTTGTGAAGGAGGGCAATGTGAGTGGTTTGGATGGAGCCAAATGTGGTTCAAGAAAGAAACGATTGCTCAGGTCCGTAAAATCATACTCTCCATCTCCACCGCCTTGAAGATTGGCATATTCACACTGGTTTTCAGAATCCATTTGCTACAAAAAGTGATATAAAAGATATATTATTAAATAAATAAATAAATCACAATGGGCCAAATCTGCTGAGAGATGGTTATAGTTCCAAAAAAAAGAAGAGAATTTGAGAGAGAGCCAGAGAAAATTCACACAGTTGATCACAACCAGAAGAAATTTCAACCAGCCAAAGAAATTCCAAGGAATGGTCAGACACCTGAAGTACGCAACTGCGTGCTTGCCTTCACTTCTTGGTGTCAAAGCAAATTATGGGAACTTTCCCTGGAGATGAATTTTTTTTTTTCATCAACATTTGATTAAAACAAAAATTTGGGATAAGAAAAGAATTTTTAAAAACGATTTTGATAAAATGTTTGGAGTAATTATCAGTGGGCGTTCTTTTTAGGGTCCTTGTAAAGTTTTAATTATAGACTTTATAGTATCAAAGACATCTATTTTTCCATAATATCTAAGGTCCTCAATTTAGATCCAGAAAAAAGTTCTGGTCCCGAGAAAATTTCAGCCTAGGAAATTCTAGTCCAGAGAAATTCAAGCCCAGAAAAATTTGTCCAGAAGAAAATTTGATCCAGAGAAATTTCTCTGGATTCCAATCGCAGATTTCTTTGGATTTCAGAGAATTCTCTGGTTTTTCGCATTCGCAAGAATTTCTCTAGATTTAAAAAGAAAAAAGCCTGAGATTGTGGCTTGAACGAGTCCAAACAAAGTGGGTTGTTGTGTGGTGGAAAGGAGGTGGTGGTGGTTGTGGAGGAGGCATTGTGAGTGGTTGGGAGATGAGCAAACTGTGGTTCAAGACAAAAAAGATTGACTCAGTCCGTAAATCATACTCTTCATCTCCACCACTTGAGAAGATTGCATATTCACATTGTTTTCAGAATCCATTTGCTACGCAAAAAAGTGATATAAAAGAATGATATATTAAATAAATAAATAAAGGGCAAATCTGCTGAGAGATGGTTTTAGTTCCAAAAAAAAGAAGAGAATTTGAGAGAGAGCACAGAGAAACATCACAAACAGTGATCACAACCAGAGAAATATTCATACAGCCACGAGAAATTCCAAGGATGGTCAGACACTTGAGTAGCTGCTTTGCTGCCTTCACTCTGGTGTCAAGCAATTAAAGGGAATTTCTCTGCGCCTTTCCAAAGAAATGCTCTCCAGAGAAGAGAAATTCCCAAAAGGGTTCAGATTTTTACCACTATTCATAACTACTGAATGCAAATCTGATTGTAAGACATATAATATACCAAGATACCGAGCAAGTCACTTACGAGTGGAAACCACTAGAAATTAAAGAGTGTCATACAAAGATCAAGTAGCCTCAAGCTTCTTCATCATTTGGGTCACTTCTTGAATGCGCCTGCATCATTCACAAATAGAAAGTGAAAAAAAAAAAAAAAAAAAAAAGAGCTTCCAATTAGCAGTGGTTATATCGGGTACAACGAATAATGAAAATGGGTATTTTCTAATTATTGACCAAATCGCCATACATTCAAGGTGTTAATGATTGGGTGTTGAGGATTGATCTCAAACACCCTTCTTCCGCTCATGACTAACAAATTTATTGAGAACTACAGATGCACAATGCTAGTGGTTGAGACAATGTTTTATATTTTTTATTGAAATTTGTGAATGTTTTTATACATCTATTTTTCGCTTCTTGAAAAAAATTCCATTCTTACATTTTGCCATGATTTCATTTACACTTTCATTTATACTTCCAGTTATACATTTGTTGAAATAAACTGATCATAGGGATACATGTAAGTAACTAAGCATAATTAACAAACGTTTCAGCAACTTACCCAAATCATTGTGATTCATTTTGTTTCCTGAATGAAAGTGTTTCTCTGTTGAACAATGTTCCCATTAGGTCCCTCCAAGCACAGGCAGAAGCATATGAAGCCAAGACTAAAGCAGATTTGTTAAAGGCACAGAGAAGTGAGGCATCCAGTTCCAAGAGTGATTGCTTCATCCCGTAGAATAGCATGAGCAGCCACCAGGCTATTTGAGATCCTCGAGTTTGGACGCGGATGAGTTCTTGAATTTGCTGCACAGGTCGGATCCGGTGAAGGTGAAGCTCAATCGGCTGGAGAATGAAGTCAGGGGTGAGGAACAAGAGTTGATCTGGACAGGTATGAGAATGGAGAAGTTTAAAGAGGGAGAGAGAGATGAGTTTTGATTTGGTAAGGTCAAATTTCTCTGTGATATGTTTAGGGACCTTAGACATCAAAAAATAATTTTGCGAATCTCTTCCATTACGAAAAGTGGGCGAGGGACCCTAAACTAATTTTTCCTTTATCAAATCAAGTATTTTAGTCAAATTTGAAATCAAATTAGATTGAAAAAAGTAATAATAGATTGGGGATGCTTTAAGAACCTTTAATTTGGATTATGAAATTAAACTAGTTGACTATGTTCTTCATTTTAAACTTACTAACACGACAAAAATCAAAATTATTTGGAACTTTTAAAATTTGATAAAACTTGGGGGTCTAAGGTGACCCACCTTGCTTGCCTTAGGCTAGGACCAATCCTATTGATAAGTATACTGCTAAATTGAAGATGAACACAGATGGAAGCTCAAAGGGAGATCCAGGCGATAGTGGCTTTGGGGGGCTAATCCGGGATGAGAAAGGCATTTGGCTTTGTGGGTATTTCGGTAAGCTTACAAATTGCACCTGCATTGAGGCGGAGATCTAGGCACTATACAAGGGTTTGACGATAGCTTTCGAGAAAGGCTATAAGGATCTTATTATCGAAACAGACTCCCAATATGCTATTGATATGCTAAAAGGGAACATTGAGGTTACTTCCCCATTGAGAAGTCTAGTGGAGGATTCCAAGTTTCTCATCCAACGATGTGGGTTTTCGATTCAACATGTCAAAAGGAAGGGCAACAAGAGTGCTGATGGTCTTGCAAAAATGGGGCTAATCAAAATGAGATGTTGGTTGTTATGGATGACCCTCTGTAAGAAATTCGAGGTCAACTAGTGGCGGATATAGTTGGTCAGAATTATCTCAGACCTCATTCTGGGAGTTCTTAGCTTTTCTTTTTCTTTTTTTCTGTTTTGTTGTTGTATTTCCTTTTCCGTTGTACCCAAAAAAGATAAGTATGCTGCTAAAATTGCAAAAAATTATAAAGGGTAAATTATACTGACACCCCCTCAATTTCTTTGAAATCACACTAACACCCCATTTATTTTTTGAAATCACACTGCCCTCCTTCACTTTAAGAAAAATGTGTAACGATTATGTCGAAGCATTAGTTGACTGTCAATTTACCAAACAGAAGATGATGACAACATTATAAAAACATTGAAATGCCAAAATTACCCTCTATCTTCACTATAAATCAAAACAACTACCACATTGAAATTTTGTAAAGGGAAAGTGTTTCAAGAGAGATAGAAGAGAGTCAACAGCGAAGGGAGACCATGATTTTAAGCTAAACCCATGTGATACAAAAGCTGCACATATACATATAATATTGTATATATAGAAATCATGCAAACCCAATAACGAAAGAACTCCAAAAATACTGCCAACGTAACTAATGGTTAACTATCCATCTCATTATACAACACAAACCACATAACAAAGCAAAATTTAAATTCAAAAATTAACGAGCTTCAAATCAAAAACAAATAAATACATGCAAATAACAGAGCTTCAACAATTAAAACGAATTTCTTCGGCAAAGAATTAAAGAGCTTCAAATTGAAACAAATAAAAACATGTATGTAACAGATCTTCAACAATTAAAGAGAATTTCTTTTGCAAAATCTAATTTCAACAAATACATATATATATACACACACAAAATATATGTTACATATGCCTAGGGCTGCAAATGAACTGAACTGTTTATGATCAAAGGTCAGGTAGGCTCGGCTTGTTAAGGGCTCGGCTCGGCTTGGCTTGGTTCATTTAGTAAATGGGCTAAGTTCGAACTCGAATATTAGACTCATTTAGTAAACAAGTCGAGTTCGAGCTCGCATAATCTCAACTCGTTAAGTTCAGCTCATTTATCTTTATTTAAATTATATAATAAGTATATTATTTATATATTATAAATAATAGAATGAACACATTATTTATATATTAAATAATATAAATAATATTAAAAAATAAATTATCGAGTCAAGCCGAGCCGAGCTCGAACTCAGTTTCTTATCGAGCCAAGCTTGAGCTCAACAAAACTCGAATAGTTTCAGTTCGTTTGCAGCCCTACATATGCCTACGATTACAATCTCATCGACCATTGTAAACCCAAAATCAATACCCTTATGCACCACTGCATCTTATTCCCTACATGATCACCAATCCAAACCCTATACCCCCAAACCCAAAATCAATCAACCATTTTCCAACATTCTAAAAAATGAGAATTAGGACGAGAGAGAAAAAGAGAGATCAAATGAGAGAGAAGAAAGAAGCTCTGTAAAATTAGGTATTGGATTGAAATTTAGCCTTGATCAAGCTCTGCAATCGGTTGCTCATTGCCCAGTTACAGAGGTTCTTCCCATTAGATTTGTCTCATGATTCCTCTTTTGTCTACTACAGTTATGCCATCCATGCCATCTCTCACCACCGATGCAACCCAACCCAAACCCAACCCAAACCCAACAGTAATCTTCAATGGCAATTGATGGTGGTGTTATCTCCTCTTCTATCTTTTCTTTATCTTTTTTTTTTTTTTGTTACATCTATATTTTGTTTCTCATTTCTTCTCCTCTTTCATCTCATCTATTTTATTTAAAATATAAAATCAAATTAAATAAACAGAGTGAGGGTATTGTAGTAATTTTATCATTGCAGTTAATGATGTTAACTGACCAGAGGTGACAGTGTGATTTTAGATAATAAAGAGGGTATCAGTATGATTTCAAAGAAATTGAAGGAGTGTCTGTGTAATTTACCTAATTATAAAATTTGATATGAGTTTAATTTGGATAGTTACATAAAATTATGAGTCTAGGAGATTAGTGGGTAATAATGAAGGGTGAGCACATGAGATGATATGGAGGATCACTTTTAACCTAAAACATGACAGTTTCTTTTTGGCCTCTAATTTATGTAAAATTTCATATTTTTTACATAAATTCAAACTTAGACAAAGTACGCAGTTAACAATCAGAAGAGACAGAGGTGGACGATTTAAATCAGAAAGAACATGTGTTCATATGTCTAATCAGTAAAACATTATAATTTATTTATTATCTCTTTATAATAGAATCGTATATTTATTTAGTCATTTATTATTAGTTGGCATACCATCAATGTGTAATTCTTGAAAGATATATGGAGAAAGGGCAGTGATTGATCCTCCTAAAAATAAAACTCTGCTCCTTAATAATAAAAAAATAAAAAGATCAAAACATCACATCAGTTGAGTCCTACCACTCTTAAAGTTCCATCAAAACTCTTAATTTAAAGCTTTGAAACATTTTTGATGGGGAAATTATGGTGCTGTTTGGTGTAACTGTTAAAACAGATTATAGATTATAGCTTAACAGATTATAAATTATGACTTTAATCAGAAACTGTTAATCTGTTTGGTATAGCTATTGGATTATAGATTTAAGTTGGTGAGTAGTGTTTGTTAAATAAGCTGTGAAATAACTTTTTCAATTAATTTTTATTTTTTATTATTCACTATTTGTTTACATTTTTCATAAAAAATAATAATAATATTTTATAATCCATTTGG